AATTTGAAGAGACAAAGATTTTGAATCTGTCTTTTCAGTGAGAGTAATGTTGTCCATTGAAGTATGGTGGTCGGTGTGAAGAATGTCCATCTTGAAGTAGAGCACCAGGAATCTAATAGTGTGCCATTGGATCTTTGCTCACGTGTGGTTAAACACTTCAAATGTGAGACCTGCTCTGATACTAATTGAAAGTCAAGAGGGGGGAGGGTGAATTAAAATTTCCTTTAGTCAACTTTCTGTAATGGCCAGTCGACTCACCTGCACGTTGGTAGAATAAATAAACAGTAATAATAACTTGCAGTAAGTAAATAACACAGAGTATTTTTATACTGGTTCAGATCACCGATGTGGTGCCTAGTCCAGTCCTCTTGGGTTACAAGGGTTTCCTTAAGAGCTTGTTGAGAACTTGAGTGTTACAAAATGTTACAATTAAGATCCCCGTCTAATATGCAAATCGGATTTTTTTCTTTGACACAACCTCTACCTGTATAACCTACACTCAGATCTTTCTTTTTCTTTTCTTTTCATTTGTTCACTCAAGTGTGTACAAAATTTTATGAAAGATAAAAGAAGATTACAATATAAGTTCAAGTGAAGTGCGTAATTTCAACTGTTGGTCTGAGTCTTCTTTTATATATCAGTATTGCGATGGGTTTTTAGCTCTAACAGGAAAGGAAAACCCAAGGGAGTTTCCTTCAATCAAGGATTTGTAATGTTTCCTTGATTGAGAATCTTGGATCCTTGATTTAATCTGCCTTGAAACAAATGCTGATGTAGAATCCTTTGCTGATCTTCTTTTGATCCTGCTTGCTGTCTTGAGCCTTCTGTTTTGCAGCTGTCATCTTTCCTGATCAGTTCCATAATCAGTGTGAATTGCTTGTTGTCCTAATTGATTGCCTGGTGCTGTTTTCCTTTTGGAATGATGGCTGATTGAATCAATCTTTTAGATTGATTGTGTGTTGATCCATTTCTATGGTTGCTGCAGATTGTGAATCAATCTATTCCTTGATTGGTGTGATCCTTATGATGACTGATTGAATCAATCTTTTAGATTGATTGTGTGTTGATCCAGTTCCATGGTTGTGCCAAATTATGAGCCAATATATTCCTTGATTGGTGCGATCCTTTAGATTTGATTTGGTCAATCTATTTCCATGGTTTGCTCGTGTCACTCAGTCTTTTTGGTGAAGCTGGTGATCTTCTTGTTTCTTCTCTTGATTTCCTGCGATGTGAATTCAACTTGTCATTATTCAGAATATCATAAGTTAACAGGTTTGATTTTCATTTTGACTAATAACCGATCCAAACCGACATGTGAACACCCCTAGGCACTAAAAGAAATTAATTAAGATATTTAATTTGACTAGAACTCTATTTTCAAGAGAAACGAAGGCTGTTTGGAACAATATTTCGACGATACAAGTCATGCAAAACTTTTGTGTTGTAACATTTACACGATTTATCGTATAATTCTTTCAAACGAAAGATTTGACTTTAAAATATGACTAATTATACTAAATTATCCTATAAAATGACTCAATTTTGGATGCACCAAGGCTATTTACTCCAAATAAAAAAAAAACAAATTAAATTTAAAAAAAACCTCAATATTTAAATTAAAAATCAACATAATTTGATTTGACTTTTTTTTAAGCAATATTAAATATCTAAAAATGTTTAGCGTAATTAACTGTTAAAAATATTAAATTTTGAAAAAACTATAAATTATACACTAGATTCCAGTATACTTTTATTTAAACGGAAAAGGGTCAAGAATACCCCTGACCTATTGGAAAAGGTTCAAAAATACCCTTCATCCACCTTTTGGTCTAAAAATACCCTCCACTTTTGCTTTTGGTTCAAAATTACTCCTCCATCCACCTTTTGGTCTAAAAACACCCTTAACCCAAATTGAATTGAACTTTTTTTTTACTTGTTAGCTAATTCTTTTTATTTGTTTTAATGATAATATTTTATTTATTCAAATTCGTAATATTAGTTCATCCCAAAATATTTAAATTATTTAAGTCTAACTATATTTAAAATAAAATATTAAATTTGTTATGTTGTCAATATTTTTAGTAACAGGGAATAAAGGAAAAAGACAAAATTTGACTAATTATATACGTAGCTAATATTTAGGATTTTAGATATGATTAGTAACCGTAAATAAGAAACAAAAAAGATTTTTTTTCTTTTTCAAAATTTCGTGATGGGTGGTGTCCTTATTTTGGATCACTGATTGTAAATAGGGAAAAATGAGTTTTTAAATTTTTTTTATTATTATTATTATTAATATCATCATCATCATCATCGTCATCGTTATTTTGGGTCAGTGACAACGGTAAATAAGACATAAAAAAGGGGGTCTTTTTTTGTCAAATTTTGTTGTTTTTTTACTCTCTTTACTAAAATATTTGATAACGTAAGAATTTTTTAAAATTTTAAATATAATTAGACTTAATAAATTTTAAATATTTGAGATGAGCTAATATTAAGAATTTGAATAAATAAAAATTTATCTTTCAAAACAACTAATAAGTAAAAGAATTTAATTCAATTGAATTTGAGTTGAGAGTATTTTTAGCCCAAAAGGTGGAAGGAGAAGTATTTTTTGAACCAAAAATACCAATGGAGGATATTTTTAGACCAAAAAGTGGATGAAGGGTATTTTTAAACCTTTTCCAATAGGTCAGAGGTATTCTTGATCCTTTTCCGTTATTTAAATGATAGAGTAGAGCTGTCAATATGGGCTATCCCACCCCATCCGGGCTAACCCATACAGACTTTGACATTTTACGGGTTAGGCCAGGCTAGCCCATTTTTTGTGTGGGCCAGAAAACGGTCGGCCCAACCCACAAGTACGTGGGCTACAGGCTTGCCGGGCCTACCCATTTTTTTAAAAGTTATATATATTTTTTATAATTATTAAATTAAATTATTCAAGTAAAAATATAAATATCTAAATAAAAATATTAACCTAACTGTTTTGCAATGATCACAATAAAACACAAAAAATATGACAATATTCCAACCATAAAAAAGTAAAAAATAAACTCCTTAAAAAATCATGAAACTTATGGCGTATCTAACACTTCATGAAACATATGACGTATCTAACACTTCATGATTATCTTCATCAAGCATATCTGAATCAACTTGTGACTTGTGGGAAGGTTGTCTTAACATCTGCAATTTATATGCCGTTTCAATTAGTTAAATATTAAAAAATAACTCAATTGAGAATTATAATATTTAAATGTACACAAAAATATATTACCAGTTTGAGAAAAACCATGTAACCAGTTTCGAGTAGCAACAAGTGTTTGGACATTTTCATGGTGGATGCAACTTCTATACTTAGTGATTTCCTAAAAAACTTTAAATAGATTTTGAGTTTGGATCTCTTTAATTTTAAATTTTAATATTATATTATATTTTTTAATTAATTTGTATTAGCCCACGGGCCGGCCCTACCTATATTTCTCAAGCCCCACAAATCAGCAGGCTTATTCAGGCCGGGCTAAAAAGCCCTTTTCTTAAATGGGGTCCAAAATTTTTAGCCCAGCCCTATTAAATCCCGGGTTAGGCTAGGCCAGCCCAACAGGCCTAGCCCAGATTGACGGCTCTAAGTAAAGTAAAGAAAAATACTAAAACTGACAGGTTTATTCAGCCCCATCAGTTGTTGGCACAATCTCAAGATATGAACACAAATTAGAGAATCTTGCAGCATAGAAAACTTCTGAAATTTGAATTAGCTCCCCTTTTTAGCAAATCGAAGCATAATGTACATTAGCACCTAGCAAGAATTAAACTGAACATAAACATTGACAATATCAAACAAAATTATTCTTTTAGCAACTGTGCCTATGAATGCTTCCACAGTGATATTGACAATATGAAGTTTGGATCTCCTTTCAAACTCCACCTACTTTGTATCCTAACCCTCACAAAATGGAAGCTCAGATAAGGCGCCGAAGAAACTTAGGTAGATGATATCCACGGGCAGGTCTTAACTATATTTCTCAAGCCTCACAAATCAACAGACTTATTTAGGTCGGGCTAAAAAGCCCTTTTTTTAAATGAGTTCTAAAATTTTTTAGCCCAATCCTATTAAATCTCGAACTAGGCCAGGACGGTCCAACATGCCTAGCCCATATTGACGGCTCTATGATAGAGTGGTTGGCCACTGACACTTTCTTTTTGTTATCCCTAAAAAATATTCCAATTATACAACTATCACTATATTCTATGATTGGTAACGCGCAAAATCTGTTTACATTATATTATAAATTTAATTACACTTATATTCTTCAAATATTGATATATTTTACTTTTTGTTAAAGAATATTTTATCAGGCATACTTAATCTTGGATTTATTAAATTGGATGTTTTGACCTTTTAACATATGAAAAAATAAAAGTGCTAGTATATTTTTCTTCTTGTTTTAAATAATTTAACAGTTAATGATCCGTTAAAGCTGTCAGAAGCAAAACCTTATAGGAGTATTTCTTTTGGAAAAAATATTATAATTATTCCAAAACAATTAGAAAGAGATCTTTTAACGAGAGAAAAAAAATACTTTAATTAATTAAAGAACAAATAAATTTAACCAAACTTCACAAAGAATTAAAATTAAAACCCATTATTATTTCAAAAGATACAAATTTCCCACAATAATTTGTTTGTGAAATAAAAAAAGAAACACAGTTTCTTATACATCTTTTTCTTGCATCAAAGAGTATATCTCAATCACAAACAAAAAAAACTATATCCTAAAAATTCATAGACCACTTGAATGAATTAATAACAATTTGCGCTGCTCAGACTCTTCAAAAATAATACCAAGTTCGTGTTGAATTCTCAAAAAATATTCGAAATGATATGACACTCGTGTCAAATCCTTCAAAAATATATTATTTTGGAGGATCTGACATGTATTCGTCAGCATTAGCATTTTTTGAAAAGTCTGAGCAACATACTGAATAGGAACAAATCTTCATCTTGAAGGTTCTTCAACTATAGTTTCAAGAAATGGCTTCTTTGATCTACACATTGACAACATTTTCTTGAATTCTGGTGTAGAAAACTCTTCAATATCATCCAATTTCAACTTTGGCAAATCAATTTTGTCATCAAATTTTGGTTCCTCTGTATATTCTGGCAAGATTTTGACTCTTCCAAAAGACACTTTTTTAGAAACAGAGTTAGCAGTTAGGAATAATGCACCTAAATCTGCTGCTGAAACAAATGAATTCAATCTTTTCATTGGGAACATAACATACACATTGGCAATTTCAAGATCCTCGTCAGCATTTAACGCAGAAAATCTCTTACCAATATGTAAAGACCTCGAGTTAACGATGAAAAAATTAGGTATTTCCAGCATGACCTCAGCTGCTTTAACTTGTTGATGTACGTTTCGAATTTCGCCATTTGGGAAAATGACCTTAGTTGATCTTGATTGTTTGTTGCCTCCTTGTACTAATAATGTGCAAGACACATAGTTACCCATTACGAATTGGATTTAGAGCCTATTCGAATGGACTTATAGCTTAGGACTACAAAAGTGCTTAAAAGCACTTTTAAAAAAAGTCAATTCAAACAGGCTCTTTGTGCTTATGAAGTTGTAGTTAGTTGGAGGAAAAGCCTTTAGAGTTGAGAAGAAATTTTCCAAAACTAGTATGAGTATTAGAAGGTGCAAATGAAATTTTCTTCAAATAAGGAAGAGAAATATTTTAAGATGAATATGTACTCTTGGTTTTTTTATGTTTTGGGATTGAGAAAATGAAAGAAATATCCCTATATTATATGTAGTACTAAATGAAGGGAATGTTGGTTATAAAAGGATAAAAATGTGGAATAATATATTTATTATTATTGTTATTATGAGTAGAGAGGCCAGTTGTAAAAAGAAAGAATAAAGTGTTGGGGGTATGTATATAAACCAAATTTGACAACTTGACATGTTTGGGCTGACTGTCATGAATACGCGTTTTGGTGAAGTGGGGTTTTATTTACATGGATCATATATTGATTAAGATCTCATTTGTTTAAACTTTAAAGGATTACGATGTGGGGAATCGAACATTCATTAACAAGGTAGGAGTTTAGGTAGCCAACCAACTGAGCTACTAAGATTCTACTTATTAAGATGTTTGAATTTGTACATACAGATTTAATATAGAAAAATTAACTTAAATATGTCATTAAACTTTGAATTTTTTATTTATTTATGTCCTTTGTTAATAGTTGAGTTTAATCATATCATTTCCGTTACAAATAGGGTCTATCAATGCTATTTTTAACTGTGTTTTGTAGTTTTGCAAAATCATTTTTTCACGCGATCTCTTATAAGAGGCTTATTGTCACACTCCGAATCTACACCTTGTACGTGGCTGACACTCGAAATCATTTCTGACCCGAGTGAATCGTTGGCCTGACATGTTATAACATTGAACACTGTATAATGCGGAAATTTAGATTTATAGTAATGGACTAAGCTATTGAATACTGAAGTAATCTTTTTATTAATAAAGAACACTAAAATATTATCTGAGCAAAAGTTTGAAATAGAATTGAGGCTATTAATGTCTATAACTCATGATTGTGTTTAATGAAGCCTCTAAAATAACTGAACTGAAAAGTTTATTGGGACAAGATATCGGACTGCCTGGAAGCAAAAACAATTGAACTAAATAAAACCTGTTGAATTATAACTGAAATCCTCTGAGTGCGAGGAGGACTCACCACAAGCTGAAAGTAGAGGAACTTAGTGAAACGTCCAAACGCGAAGCTGAAAGAGGTGCTGAAATCTACATCATAAAACGATGTAGCACAAAGTAGCATCAATACATGTAATGTATTGGTATGCAAAATAATGACCAAGAACAACAATTATATAACAGATGAAAGAACCATAAATCTAAGCATGAGTAATACACAAACGATAACTGAATGACTGAGACATAATATTTTAAAAATTGTTCACTGAAATGAAAGTCATAAAAATAAAATCTTTTAATTGAAAACAGATGTTATGCACTAAACTGGTTATTTTTACTAAGTTGCTGAAATATGCATTTGAAACATGAAGAGAGAAGTATTCAAAACACCCCTAAACTTGGCGCGATTTATTAGTTTCATCTCTCAACTATTGACAACTTTAAAAACACCCTTCCATTTGACTAATTGAACTTAAATATACCCCTGATCTTGAATATATATATGAATATTAAGTCTATTAGTTTTTCAACATCTGAATTCCTTTTAAATAAATAAATATATAATTTAATAAACTACTAAATTAATCAATATTGTATCAATAATATATCTTGTAAAAGTTATACGACAATTGGTGGTGGCGATGCTAATGGTGATGGTTGTTGGCTAATGGTGATGTTGTGGTAGTAACTAGTGGTGACGGCTAATCGTTATAGTAAACGATAGTAATAGCTGAAGTGTTGGTAATGATGTAAATATTGATCAGTATTGGTATCAATTAATTATAATAATTGATAGTGATAATGGTTGTGGCTAAAGAAGTGAAGATAGTAGCGCATGGCAATAACAATAGTTGATAGTGGTTGGGGATGGCACTAGTGATAAATGGATATGAATTGCTGAACCGTTATTATTGTAGAAATATTTAAATAGCTATTTCAATAACATTAAATTTTTATTACAAATCTTATTCATTTAATTTTATTCAAATTCATTGAGTAATTGTTATATAGGGGGAAAAAAAAGCATACATTATAGCCAGGATCTAAGCAATTAACATTCATACCTAAAAAAAAACATAGACTTAATTTCAGATATGAATAATTAAATTAAAACATCTATTAAGTGTAAATAATTAAAATAGAAAGATTAATCATCAATGGTTTTCTGTTAATTGCGTGTGGAGCCCTATCTTTTATTTGCTTATGAAAAAATAAAAAGCACTACCAAATTTCCAAAAGAATATTAAGTATATATATATTCACGGTATGTGAAAAATTATTTGTAAAATTACGCACTTATATTGTTAATATTAATACAAATAAATGTTTGTTATAAATATTAATTTCGTAACTTACCAAATATTACAAATTAAATTACTGTAAAAATGTAATAAGATTTTACATTTACATATAATTTCAATCTTTTTCAAAATAGATACATATGGTAGGAATTATAGGAATACATTGGATTAAATCGTAATTACGGGTGTTCACGATTTGGTTAAAAGGCAGATTAATTAAAATTGAAATAAATCAAACGTTATTTTGGTTTTGATTTTGGCATAATACATATATAAATTGATCTATTCTTTAATTTGATTTTATCTGACATTTACATCGTTTAATTTGGATGTGCACAAGTAGACACTTAAATTTGTATAAGTTGAACAAGTAAACACACGTCCTACGTGGCGCCGTATGTGGCCATTCACACTCTATGTGAGTCCTACATGTATGATGTCATGTAGGACACATATACCTACTTATTCATCTTTATACAAACTTAAATGTCTACTTGTGCATATTCAAAATTGAAGGAAATAAATATCAACTGAAACCAAATTAAAATATTGTGAATAACATAAATATCAACTGAAACCAAATTAAAATGTATATTTATGTATTATGTCCATTTCTTTTATAAATGTTAAAATAATATTGCAGGTATTTATTTCAAAACTGGTTTTGATAGTGTATTTCCTTGAAGAATTAAGTCTCAAACTATTATTGTTAGCAGAATCCTTCTAGAATTTACAAAGTTATTAAAATTCGAATATGCCATGACCCAGACCGTCGTGATTGGCACCCACACTAATCCTCCGGTGGGAGAACCATTACTACAACCCAAATCTAACAACTTAACCAAATACTATGCATTTAGAGATACGAAAGCACGTTTAAATGACAATAAAAATGGAGTTCCCATAACCTCCAAAGGTTTAAACAATTAACTAACTAAACTAATGCGGAAATTCAGCCCCTAGAACCTGAAAGTCATTGTACCAAAACATCTAAATTCA